AAAATCCTGCACCTTCTACTTGTTTGTACAATTTTCCCTCCATTACTTTTCCCTCCGTTACCATGACCTTTCTTAATAAAAAATCTCATGAGTCAAAAAGTCAGAGGTTTTTCAACCTAATCTTGTACCATATGGTAGAAAACTATATGAAGCAAATATTCAAACCAGTTTGTTAAGGATATGGAAGTGAGAACCAAGAGTTATCACTGTTTGGATTTATTGAACAAAAAGTGCTGCATATTTCATTCCCTCCGTTACCGACATGACATGAGTTTTTTTTATTTTTTGTCTTGAACTTGAAAGAATATCACAGGTTTAACTTTACCCTGTTGGAGTGTAACTCTTTCCTACATTCTGATACTTTACTTATTTCAATAGTTCCTCTAGTTTCTGAATAAGAGACATTTGAATGTCAAAAATCTGACCCTGTTTCCCTCTGTTACCACTTGACTGGACCCAGCTACTAAAAAACATAGAAAACAGTAAAATACTCAACAAGAAATATACATGTCACTTATTAATCTCTAATCTCTAACGGTGACTGGTTCCAGAGCCGGCAGCGACAGAAAACACACGGTCCCCACGAAGTTTACGTTTAGTTTTTGGGACGGCGAGCTGGAGTTGGTCTGCAGATCTGAGAGGGCGGATCAAGTCAGTGAGGTAGGAGGACGCTGGGCCGTGCAAACACTTGAAAGTAAATTAAAGAATTTTAAAATTGACTCTAAAAGACACTGGGAGCCAATGAAGAGAAACTAAAATAGTTGGGACTCTCTCGTGTTTCCGGGTTCCAGTTAAAAGTCGAGCCGCTGAGTTTTGGACCCGTTGCAACCGGGAAAGTGCATTTTGTCTGACACCAGCATAAAGTGCATGACCATAATCCAATCTAGTCGTCACAAATGTATGTGGGACAGTTTTGAAGTGTTGTGTTGACAAAATAGGCTTAAAACTCACACACTCACAGGCAGATCAGAAACAACGAGGGATGAGATTAAACACATCTGGGGCGTTTTGCGTTTTTAAGCCCCAAAAACGTCGTCACTGTCTAAGGTTCCTGTTTACACGAGAACACTTGTGAGTAACTTGTGACAAAACATTTTATCTGAAGTGTCTTTCGTTTTAGATGGTGACGATGTTTTTGGGTCTTAAAAACACAAAAATCTGAAAACACCTCCAGAAACCACTGCCCAAGACGCAAAACTCTGGTTAGATCTACTCAGGTCATGTACACATTTACGTCACAAACAAACAGGACGCACAAACCTGACATGCAAACACAATCCAATTCCACACACTTTTGAGTCACCGTCTGCAGCAGATTTCCTCCCGAAAACTCTCGTCTAAACGCAGAATAAAAAGTGAAGACGCGACGCCACTTTTGCGTCGTCTGTTCAGACCCTCATCGTATAAACGTTGTCTAAATGAAAGACACTTCCCATCAAATATTTTGTCGTTTTTACCCGTGAGTGTTGTCGTGTGAACAGGACCTGAATGGAGTCATCAGTAAAGAAACTGAAAATCCTGAAGTTCCATCATTTCCTCCACGAACAACAAACCGTCGTGTCGTATTCTGCAAAAAAAATGTCTGACCCTGGAGTTTTGATGTGTACAAACCTGTGCTAATGTGATTTTTATTTAAGTTTGTGACTTTAGATTAAATTTTTTTGTCAATTCTTCTGGACGTGTTTCAAATATGAACTTTCAACAGAACCCTTTCATTAAAATATAAATCACAAATACTTATATCCGAAAAACTGTAGCTACAATAGTTCCTGTGTGGCAGAGTGGTTAGTCCTCATGATTACACCTTTATCATCAGAAGGCCCCCGAGTCAGAAGGCCCAGTAGTCACAAAGTAAGTCACTGTGACATAATTCAAGAATTGGAAAGACCTATTACCCTAAGGTATCTAAAGACATTCATATGGACTCTGTAAGTCAAACAGTCTAGAATTGTCCAGCCATGGTTAATGAACAGACGGACAGACGGATGGACGGACGGACAATGGGTGATCGCATAAGTTCAGCTTGAGTTTACAGTTCACAAGCTGAACTAAAAATGCCTTACAGTCGGCCCTTTTCAATACGACCAGGCGGGATACCCAGAACAGGAGCATTTTTATGACACGCCTAAATAGTACATATACTTTGAGCTGAGCTAAAAATATCAAGGCCTCTTATTTTCAATTTGTTCGCAAAATTTGAAGTTTGTATAAAAATGTATGTCTTTATGAATTTTGAGGTGAAAATTTGGAAAATACCCTACAAGATCTGTGGTACAATGAAAACACGACCTGAACATGGATTTTCTGACCAGAGGGTTTTCTGATGAAAAGGCTGACCCCGTCCTCACGCCTCACCTCACCTTTCAGGCCCACAGAGAATCGTGCTGGTTCCGGTTCCTGCACCTAATCTTGAACTGACTCATGTGTTCACAGCAGAAATCAGAGCGTTCAGGAATCGGAAAGTTGGTTCCCAACGGAAACCAAGTAAAACTTTTTTTTTCTAAGTGAACCATGACAACACAGCAGACGTCAGCAGGTTCATCCGAGTCACACACGGGAAAATAAACAAACAAAGAGCAAGTGAAAATATCACATATTAAGTTAAAAGTTTTAAGTCTACAGAAACTATCACGTACCGTTCGTTTTGCATGTGTTCATGTTCTCCTGATAAGTTTATATCTTTGTATTCAGCGTCGCTGTCGTCTTCTCCACAGCAGATCCATGTTGTGTCAGAGTTTGGTACATAAATAATGACTTGTACAAACTCTCGCTGGTGTTGATGATGAGATCCATGATTGTTCTTTTCCTTCTGTGACGTCTGTTTTCATACGGCCTTGTTTTTACTTGGTGTTAAATCCACACTCTCTGTCGATGACGCGTCATTTGTTCACGTAAATAGTTTGAACGCGGCTCGTTCTCCGGAGAACACTTTGGTTCTCAGTGGAACTGGTTCTGACCGACCTGAAAACAGCTTGAGAAAAGGTTCTTGGTTCAACTCCAGTGTCATGTGAGGACTTACTGTGCAGAGTTTGAATGTTCTGCCTGTGTCTGTGTTTCTCCATCAACCCAAAACATGCACAACGGGTCAAACCCTCCAGCTAAGAAAGACCTGACCAAGACCGGCTCAAGATCTGAAGATGGGTCAAATGCAGAAGTCAAATGCAGGTTTAACCCGGAGAGGCAGAGGACGGGTCAAATGCAGAGGACACATGTGTGTGTGAGTGTCACTGTGGATGTGCAGATGTGGAGGTGACAGTTTGAAGCGTCAGACTCTGGACTTGGACTTAATGACAGTCCTGAGGTCCTGAGGCGCTGTCCTGTTCATCAAACCTCTGTTTTTGGTTTCACTAAAAAAACTTTTGTCACCTCAAAAACACCTCATTTACTCACATTTGGACCAAAAACAGAAACGTCAGGTCGAATAAACCAAGGACTAAACCAGGACTAAACAAAACTAAACCAGGACTAAATAAGGTCTAAACCAGGACTAAACCAGGTCTAAACCAGGACTAAACCAGGATTAAACCAGGACTAAAGCAGAACTGAACCAGGTCTAAACCAGAACTAAATAAGGTCTAAACCAGGACTAAACTAGGACTCAACCAGGATTAAAACAGGACTAAACCAGGACTAAAGCAGAACTGAACCAGGACTCATTGTCGGGATGGGTCCAGAGGTTCAGTCCTGGTTCAGTCCTGGTTTAGACCTGGTTTAGTCATGGTTTTAGTCCTAGTTTTAGACCTGTTTTAGATCTAGTTTAGACCTGCTTTTAATCCTGGTTTTAGACCTGGTTTAGTCTTGGTTTAGATCTAGTTTAGACCTGGTTTTAGTCCTGGTTTAGACCTGGTTTAGTCATAGTTTTAGTCCTAGTTTTAGACCTGTTTTAGATCTAGTTTAGACCTGCTTTTAATCCTGGTTTTAGACCTGGTTTAGTTTCCAGGAATAAGTGGAATTACCAGGGAAAGAAAAATAAAAATGATCACTCACTGAAACAGTAACTGTAACTGAATACAGTTACTTATAAATTGTACTCTGATTACTCCGGTACATGTAATCTGTTACTCCTCAACACTGCCTGTGACCCTGTGGCCGACGGTGTTTCACTGCTGCCCTCTGCTGGTGACTGGATTATTTGCAGGTTTTACTTCTGCTGAATATTCTGTATAAAGAAACACAATTTTCTTCATTTTCGTATTTAATTTTTTTTTTCTTCTTCTAATTAAACCTCCTGCAGACTTTTTTTTTCTCTTCCTCTGACAGTTCTTCTGAAACTGTTGGACCTTTTCTCAAACCCAGACTCTGCATTTTAAACCTTTGAACGTTTTGAACACAGCCACATTATTATTAATTATAATATTATGACTGAATATTTTCATCCCTGCTCCTTTTCCCGGGACAGAGATTCAAACATTCTGAGTCCAAGTTAAATGTAAATGTGTGTTTTGTGACACTGGGAGGAGGATTTGGAACATCTTTTCTTTTTTTGTGAATTTGTGCAACAATTTTGGTTTCATTTTCAGTCTTGGCTTCAGTCCAGGGCAATTCAGTTTCAGCCATAAAAGAAATAAAAATTGGTGTATTAAAAGGAATGGAATTTGGTATCAACAGTTTGTTTATTTTAGGTAAACGTTTTATGCATAAATGTCGATTTATTTATTTATTTTAGATAAAACCATAAATAACACACTTGAAGAATGACGTGAAACTTTCTGTTCGCTCATTGGGCCTAACTGAGAGAAAAGAGGCTGTTTTTGTCATGTTCTTTTTGAATGAGTTTAATTTATTCCTTTAAATTAGAGCTTTGAAATTGCCCCTTTTATATGTGAATATGTTTTTATTCGCTCTTGTGTTTTTAATGCATTTATTTTTCATGTGAACTGTTTACTTTTATTTATTTATTTTTTGTTTCTATCTTAAAAAACAAAAACAAAAAACAAACAAACAAACAAAAAAAAAAAAACTCCTGGTCGGTGTAATACGCGGAGGCTCCAGGGGGCGGCGCTGTTTCCATGGAGATGGATCCTCCTGTGGTGTTTCTCGTGTTCCTGTTTTAGCTCAAATTTAATTTCATATTTTCCCGCAGCAGCAGAATCAGGTAAAGATGAACCGTCTCGTCTGAACACGGTACCGACCCGCTCACCTCGTGTCGATTCCGGTTCTTTTACGCTTCAGATTAAACAGTTTTTCTCTGTTTTGGCTCTGAGCTAGCGTTAGCCTGTTAGCCTCTGTTAGCAGAGAGGCTAAAAACAAACCCGAGGCTAACGGCGGTCAGAGGGTCCAGACACGTCCCCGTGTCCCCGGGACTGTCCCCGTGTCCCAGAGCCTGTGTCCCCCAGATTTATACAAAAACACTGATATGATCCAATTTTATACAAAAAATGTCCCAGGAGTCTCTATTTTCACCAAACTGATCTAAACCAGGACTAAACTGAGACTAGACCAGGACTACATCGGGTCTAAACCAGGACTCAACCAAGACTAAACCAGGACTAAACTGAGACTAGACCAGGTCTACATCAGAACTAATCCAGGACTAAACTAAGACTAAATCAGGTCTGAATTTAGACTAAACCAGGACTACATCGGGTCTAAAGCAGGAATAAACCAGGACTACATCGGGTCTAAAGCAGGAATAAACCAGGACTACATCGGGTCTAAACCAGGACTAAACTAAGACTAAACCAGAACTACATCGGGTCTAAACCAGGTCTAAACTGAGACTAAACCAGGACTATAACATTCTTGACTAATCTGATCCCTGCTGACAGTAAAGGGGCACATAAATTATCATTTATTTTGCCATATACACAAATCCGTGTCTGTGAATGAACATAAACCAAAAAAAAAACAAAACGCTGCGTCAGAAGTTCCTCAGATCATGACTGACTGGAGAGTTCACGATGTTTTTCGCTCTTTTCACTGTTTTATTTACACAAATGTCCCGACCCGGGTGTGTCCCAGTGTAGCGTTTAGAAACTCTGGTCTCCCTCGAGTCTTTCTGTAAACACTCGTAGCTGTGATGGTAAAATAACGTACACACTTTTATCTGGACGTGTTTTAATTTGAAAGCTGTTTCTCTTTTGGTTTTCTTCTTCTGGTCACACACAGTTTACGTCAGTGTCAGGGAGAACAGATATTCTAAATTAAAAACTGGGACACACCCGGACTGGGACGGTTACTCTGCACCTCTTCTCTCTAATTTAATGTCTCTCTTTCGCTTTTTAATTTTATGATGATTATTTATGTTTTGATTTGTTTGTTTTGTGATTTGAATGGATTTATTTAAATGACTTTAAACTTGCCATTAGTATATAGGAAATGATCATCCATTCTTGTCATAATGTGAGGGACCTCTGTCAGTGCTTTGCTTGATTTGATTTGATTTTAATTTTATTTAATTTTAGTTTAGTTTAGTTTTATTTAATTTAGTTTAGTTTTATTTTATTTTAATTTATTGTAATTTATTTCATTTTAATTTATTTTAATTAATTAATTTATTTTTATTTGTTTTATTAATTTATTTATTTTGTTTTTATTGTGTTTTATTTATTTTTTTCATTAAAATTAATTAATGTATTTATTTATTTTATTCATTTATTTATTTTTTGTTTTTATTTTATTTTTATTAATTAATTTTATTTATTTTTTTGCCTTATTATCAAGCACATTTTTCAGTATTTTAGCTAAACAAATGACAATATATTACCATCTTTACTGTTGGCAGGGATCAAATTGGTCCAAAATTGAGACACCTGGGACATTTCTTGTATAAACTGGGACAAATCAGTGTTTTTTTAATAAATCTGCTGGGACAGGGGACACAGGCTCAAAACTGGGACTGTCCCGAGGAAATAGGAATGACTGGACACTCTATACAGTGGCTGAATTTGTAAAAAAAAAATTAAATTTAGACATAGACAAACTATTGATCCACACAGGAATTTATTCGGAAATAAGTTGGAAAAGTAACAAGAGACGAGTCAAAATAAAATAGAAAAATAACTCACTCACCTGTTCCTTCTGTCCTCACAGTCCGGCCCTGGAGCAGCTCATTTGGTCCCTGGAATAGTCCCGGTCCAGACCTGGTTTTCCTCTTGGTCTTGGTCCTGGTCTTGGTCCTGGTCCTGATCTTTGGTCCTGGTCTTGGGATGGGCCTATGGAGGATGTGGTTCTTCGTTATAAATCCGGACCAGACCAGGACGTGTCTGCTCTGATCGGGACCACAGAGAGACTCCTGGCCCCGTTCCCCTGTCGCCCTCCGCAGGTAAATACTCTACGTCCCTGTGTGTCAGATGCCCTCCCAGGTGATGTGGTTGCAGAATGAATCTTGTAACTGATGGAAATGATTAGGGAAAAAAACACGTGTGGATTTGACTTCTGGAGATTTCAGATGAAAAACAGAGAACGGGTCAGAACACAGACTCTGCTCCGTGTGAGAGGGACGCTCCGCTCCACAAACGGACTCGAAATGACGTGCTGAAAATTAAAATTTAAATCAGAACACGTGTTTAAATAAAATCTTTCGCTCTCTGTCGTCCTGCAGGTTTTCAGTCCCTGGTTTCCCTCCGTCGTTGACAGACACCTGCCCCTGAGACCGGCCAGACCTCCTCCCAGAATCCTCTCTGCCCCCGACCCCGGTCCAGAGGAGGACAGGGGGAAGACCGGACCAAACCAGCACCCAAACCAGGACCCAAACCAAACCGGACCAACTGGGACTCTTAACCAAACTACACAGGGGAAGAAAGAGAAAACTGGACCGACCCAGGGCCCAAAAGAGTCTGGACCCAAAGAGAATCTAAACCAGACTAGAGAGGAGACTGGACCACCGGGGAGTCCAGATCAAACATGTGGGGTCAGTCCTCAAACTGGACTAACCCAGGGGCCGGTGAATTCTACGGTGAGAATAAATAAATAAATACGTCTTAAACCAGGACTAAAGCCGGACCAGAGCAAAAGATCATTTTAGTCAGGATTATAAAACAAATTACAACTGAAATCACAATTTTAAAAGTCCCAATTATCAAACGGTCAAGGTGTTTGTTCATTTGATAATAATGTGACAGGTGAGATGGGGGAGACAGGTGTGACAGGTGAGACGGGTGTGACAGGTGAGATGGGGGAGAAAGGTGAGACGGGGGAGACAGGTGCGACAGGTGTGACGGGGGAGACAAGGGAGACAGGTGTGACAGGGGAGACGTGTGACAGGGGAGACGTGAGACGGGTGTGACAGGTGTGACAGGGGAGACGTGTGACAGGGGAGACATGTGAGACGGGTGTGACAGGGGAGACATGTGAGACGGGTGTGACAGGTGTGACGGGTGAGACAGGTGAGACATGTGAGACAGGTGTGACGGGTGGGTGTGACGAGTGTGACGGGTGAGACAGGGGAGACAAGTGTGACAGGTGTGACATAGGAGACATGTGTGACAGGGGAGACATGTGAGACGGGTGTGACAGGTGTGACGAGTGTGACGGGTGAGACAAGTGTGACAGGGGAGACATGTGAGACGGGTGTGACAGGGGAGACATGTGAGACGGGTGTGACAGGTGTGACGGGTGAGACAGGTGAGACGGGTGTGATGGGTGAGACAGGGGAGACATGTGAGACAGGTGTGACGGGTGAGACAGGGAGACAGGTGAGACAGGTGTGACGGGTGAGACAGGGGAGACAGGTGTGACGGGTGAGACAGGGGAGACAGAATTTAACGTTGCCTTTGAAGAATAAACGTCCCTGTGTTCCCTGATGTGGTCCAGTTTATTGTGTGTTAAATCTAATGATCTGTAGTTCAGACTCTACAAACAAAGTTCTGAAACGAGATTCTTTGACGGGTTTAAAATGTGACTCGTCTAAATCTTAATTTTGAAAAATAAATTCCAGATCTCAAGTGTGTTTCTGTCCCTGCAGAGTCGAGCGCTCAGTCCCCGAGTCGACCAACGCGACGTGATCAGGACCCAGTGTCCCTTTGTCCCAGAGACGCCACCAGACCCAGACCCAGGTCCACAGGCCCGGACCAGACCAGGATCTAAACCCGACTCTCCATCCAAACGCTGCTGGACCGTGTTCGGGCACAGAGTCCCGACCAAAGACCGGACCAGAGACCAGACCCGGGTCCGGTCCCGGGTCCAGACCTCGTCCCGGCACTTCACCCAGACTCTGTCCAAACTGAGACTCCATCCCAGACACAGAGTCAAATGGATCCTCCACGAAAACAACTGCAGAGACATCGAACAGGTGAGACAGGTGAGGCAGGTGAGGCAGGTGTGACAGGTGAGGCAGGTGTGACAGGTGAGGCAGGTGTGACAGGTGTGACAGACTTTAACACTCAGGTTTTACATTTCAAATAAACACATCTGTAACTGGACGACACTTTTGGAGTGAAAACATTTGTAAAACTAAGAGTGACACACGTGACTCACCAGAACCCTGTCAGAACCCTGTCAGAACCCTGTCAGAACCCTGTCAGAACCCTGTCAGAACCCTGTCAGAACCCTGTCAGAACCCTGTCAGAACCCTGTCAGAACCCTGTCAGAAGTGAAAAAGTCTTGGACGAGGCACCAGAACTTTTGTCCAGTTACAGAATTGTATTTTCTTTTAGTGCTGGATCCCACAGACTCTGATGTTCTCCATGTCCTGAAGTCCAAACACAAACACCTGGAGGACGACTCAGCCAAAAAATAAATATTTTAACAATAATATATTATTATGTTCCAACAGAGATCAACAGATACATAAAGGCGATTATTTTACACAACTAATCACAAAAATAATCCCCCTCTCCCAAAAAATTCATCACTCTCACTCTCTTCACTCTCATTTGTCCCCAGTCCCTTTTACAAAATCATTCAAGCAAAACTGTGCTTCTGCCACATTCTTCGAACAGTACATCACATGACTCCAGATACTAAATAAATAACTGCGTTTCAAAATGTTTTAGTCACATTCAGACGACAAATTAATTAAAATTTCTTCTTCTGCAGACGTAGCTATAATTATTCTTTTATATCTTCATTTAAAGTTGAAGTTTAAGTTAAAGTTAAAGTTCCAGATTTTGACCCACAAACTGAAATACAAAAACTTTTCCTTGTTGTTTAGACTCTGGACATTTTAAAGGAAAATAGAATTTATGAAATGAAATTAGAGGAAACAGCCAGACACGTCATCCAGACGTGTTCCTGAGCAGATCATCTTTGTTCCATCTTAGACTCGCGCCATCGTTGTTTATGTGACACAAACTGCTTCTCTCTTCAGTGCACATACACTTCAGTCCTTGCGCCCTCTGCTGGTGTTTGGGGACTGTACACAGAGATGTTTGATAACTGAGTCGCTCCTTTTGTGCTGTTGTTGTTTTCTCGGGTGAAATCTCCCATGATGCCGCTGTGATGGTGACTGAGCAGAAACTCAGATGCTCTGTGTTTCTGTGTTTCTGTGTTTGTGTGGATCTTTATCTGACACTTTAGTGCTGAGTTTCTCAGAGTTTATGTGGGCACCAACATCACGACGTCCACCTCAGAAGGTCACTCAGCTTCTGAAAGAGGAGATACTGTTTTTTTAAAATGTTTATTATGATGATGAATCATCATTTTCATTAAGTGTTTACAGGGTCTTTTTAAAGCGGAATTCATTTTTATTCACAATTAAATTATTTTTAATCAGAATTAAAGCTCTCATGTAAACGCGACAACTGTCCGTGTGTCTCTGTGGGATCTGTAGCCACAATTTTAGTCCCAATCTTTTGTCATTTCTGGGTGCAGGGGTCCAGGCCTAACGAGCTTCAGAATCTGTGGTACATTACATTTTTATAAAAGAGAGAGAGAGAGCGAGAGAGAGATGAAAACCATGTGACCTCCTGTCGCCCACTCACCTGTGTGGTCATATAGAGACTCCACCCTGCCCCTTGTGGCCAAGTCAAATATAGTTCACCCTGTGTCCAGACGAACAGTGACCCAAATAAACCCCAGTCTAAATGAAAGAACAACGGCTCCTACAGGATCTTTACAGAGTCAAATCTACTGACCCTGTAGTTCAAACTCTACAAACATGTTCTGAAACACACCGGGCTCTGGGATTAGTTCAGATTTGACTCTTTTCTCTCTTCACTCAACTTTACATGTGCAAACAGAATCTCTCTCTCTCCTCAGGTGTGGCACTCCCTCTCTCACCTCTCTCTCTCTCTCTTTCCTCAGGTGTGGCGCTCCCTCTCTCGTCCCGCTCGCTTGTCCCTCCCGTCGTCCTGTAACGCTCACTTCGTCCGGGACCAGGCCCAGATCTGGGTCTACTGTGACCTGGTCCAGTCCGAGGAGGTGGGTCTGAGTCTGAAGGAGGACCTGAGTCTGAGGGGAACAATCTGTCTGTGGGAGCGACGCCACGGAAACATCTACAGCCTCTGACCCACGAAGAGCTCCACCGGGTTTTTACACTCCACACACCTTCACTAGAATCACCTGGAGCATTTCAGACCTGGACCTGCCCAGTTTCTACTGAACAAAATAATAAGAATAATATAAAAAATAAGTTAAACACAACTCCAGGTCTGTTTGTGACGAGGAAACATCAGAACACGACTTAAAGCCACGAGAGTCAAGTTTGTGTGATTATAGAACCTCAAATTCTAGAATGAACCCAGAAGCAGAACTTCTATCAAATCTGGACTTACCCAGATTTATGTATAAACCTTTTCAGTCCTGGTTCAGTCCTGGTTCAGTCCTGGTTTAGACCTGGTTTAGTCCTGGTTTAGACCTGGTTTAGTCCTGGTTTAGACCTGGTTTAGACCTGGTTTAGACCTGGTTTTGTCCTGGTTTTGTCCTGGTTTAGACCTGGTTTAGTCCTGGTGTTTATCACAAAGCCAAACATGTAGTTAATTTAAAATAAAGAAAAACTTGAATTAGAAAAAGAGGCACATGATTTAAATATGTGTAAATGTTTGTGAGTCTTTGCCGAAAATGACCTCATGTCTGTTTTTAAATTGTGTATTTATAAAAGTGTAAATCTTACACTGGAAGCTGCTTTTACAGTTATAAAATCTGTGTAATGTGTTCGAGCTGCTGAGAGGAACTCTATTTATACAAACAGTTTTAACACTGGGGATTTTACTCCACATCAACTTGTGACCAAAATATTTTTTATAAAAAGTTTTCCACTACTCGTGCTGTTTCTCTTGTGATTTGTAAAAAAAGTGACCGTGTATGAACTGTTGTTCACTGTCAAAGATGCAATAAAGATTTTTAAAGAAAATGTGTTTTGTTTCAACTTGTTTTATACAAAAACAGATTCACAAACTTCATCCAAGAGGAAAATAACCTGGACACTGACTCACGTGTTGGAGTTCACCCCGGTGAACCAGAGGGTCACGTCCCTGCGCCTTCAGGTCGGGGACAGGTTTCTCACTGTGGTGTCGCCTACGGGCCGAACAGCAGTGCAGAGTACTCGAGTACCCGGCCTTCTTGGAGTCCCTGGGAGGGACTAGACAGTGCACCGACTGGGGACTCTGTTGTTCTCCTGGGGGACTTCAACTCCCACGTGGACAACGACAGTGACACTTGGAGAGGGGTGATTGGGAGGAACGTCCCCCCTGATCTGAACCCGAGCGGTGTTTTGTTATTGGACTTCTGTGCTAGTCACAGTTTGTCCATAACAAACACCATGTTCGAGCACAAGTATGTCCATAAGTGCACGTGGCACCAAGACGCCCTCGGCCGGAGGTCGATGATCGACTTTGTAGTCGTGTCATGTGACCTCCGGCCGCGTGTCTTGGACACTCGGATGAAGAGAGGGGCTGAGCTGTCAACTGATCACCACCTGGTTGTGAGTTGGGTTCACTGGTGGAGGAGGAAGCCAGAAAGACCTGGCAGACCCAAGCGTGTAGTGAGGGTCTGTTGGGAACGTCTGGCAGAGCCTCTGGCAGAGGGACTTTCAACTCCGGGAGGACTTCTCCCGGACTCCGGGGGAGGCTGGAGATATGGAGTCCGAGTGGGCTTCATTCTCGGCCTCTATTGTCAATGCGGCTGCTCGGAGCTGTGGGCATAAGGTCTGTGGTGCCTGTCGCGGCGGCAATCCCCGAACCCCGTGGACACCGGCAGTAAGAGATGCTGTCGGGCTGAAGGAGGAGTCCTATTGGGCCTTGTTGGCTCGTGGGACTCCTGAAGCAGCTGATGGTACTGGCAGGCCAAGCGTGCTGCAGCCCGTGCTGTCGCAGAGGCAAAAACTCAGAGCTGGGAGGAGTTCGGGGAGGCCATGGAGGAGGACTATCAGATGCCCTCAAAGAGATTCTGGCAAATTGTCCGGCGCCTCAGGAGGGGGAAGCAGTTCTTCACCAACACTGTTTACAGTGCGGGGGGAGAGCTGCGGACCTCGACTGGGAACGTTGTCTGGCGGTGGAAGGAAAACTTTGAGCATCTACTCAATCCCACCATCACGTCTTCCGAGGAGGAAGCCGAGGCTGGGTATTCGGACTCGTCCATCACCCTGGTTGAAGTCACTGAGGTGGTTAAAGCTCCTTGGTGGATCTGGGAGTGGATGAGATCCGTCCTGAGTACCTTAAGTCTCTGGATGTTGTGGGTCTTGGCTGACACGCCTCTTCAACATCGCGTGGCGGTCGGGGACAGAACCTCTGGACTGGCAAACCGGAGTGGTGGTCCCTCTGTATAAGAAGGGGGACCGGAGGGTGTGCTCCAACTACAGGGGAATCACACTCCTCAGGCTCTCCGGTCTATGCCAGGGACTGGAGAGGAGAATCCGGCTGAAAGTTGAACCTTGGACCCAGGAGGAGCAGTGTGGTTTTGGTCCTGGCTGTGGAACACTGGACCAGCTCTACACTCTCCATCGGGGGCTCGAGGTTCATGGGAGTTTGCCCAACCAGTCCACATGTGCTTTGTGGGTCGGCAATCGTAGGTCGCAAGAAAATCAAACCTGTTTGAATCCACTCGCCTTTCATGAGGGTTTCACACCAAGCATCGGATCATGTAGTATGAGAAAATGAATTGGAAGCTGTGAACTTTTAAACCCTGTGTACAGTTTGAGCTGAGGCTGAGTGAAACGATCGAAAATATCATACACTGTGCAATATTTTAAATCAACTTAAGATTTCCGATTGGGAGCTGGTCGTGCGGTATTAATTGGTTCTCGTTACCTCATGTTTACTACACGAAGCACGACACACGATTCAGACAAAACTCGACCGATCCCAAAAACAGTCGCACAAGTGAAAAATCGGCTCAGGGCCAAAAATCGATCCACAAGTGAAATGATTTGAACACAGGAGTCACACATCACAATTTAATAGAATAATTAGGGATGTAGCAATAATCGAAACATTGTGATATCGTATTGTCAAATTTCTCACAATAATATCATGGACCCTCACAATATATCGAATTACAAGTCTCTTTGTTTAAATGAAGAGTTATGGTGCAGCAACAACTAAAAAAACACAGACCAACTACAACTACATAGACCATGATCGTTTTCTCCATTTCAGTGCAGACAGCAAGAAGAAATAACAGTTCTAACACTTTTAACTCTTAGTTCTTTGGACTAAGTCTTGTCAAAGCTGTTATTATTGTTACAATTGTATTATCGGACACGGTCACATCTCTAATCGTGAGCCTCCCCTAAATATCAAGAGTTTTCCCGCAATATCGCAATAAATATCCGTATCATGACACTCGGATATAATATTGTTACGCCCCTAATAATAACAAAGAGTAAATACTAAAAGTGGTAATAATAAATTCTAAATAAGCAGCAAAAAAGAAAGCAAGATATCATAGTATAACATAATTATATAAATGTATAAGTAAAAATAAAATAAAAAATAAAATAGAAAATGAAAAAAATCTCCATAACTATACTATAACTATATTAAATCTCCGTAACTATATTATTGTTTATTTATTTATTATTTATTTACATTTATTTTTTATTTATTTATTTTTTTTCGAGGACATGTGCGTGGTTTATGACAGTGCGGTTACAGCGGGAGACTCGTGATAAAGCGCTTTTTCTCCCCCACGCACACACACGCACACGTCACGCACAGACGCACGCAGCCGCCTGGACAAACGCAACCCGGTCTGGAAAAACGAGGCCACCCCCTTCAACCCACTCCACCCCCTCCCTCCGTCCGTCCACACTGAGCCTTTTGTCACGGCTCGGCTCGGCTCACTTTCCTCCGCCCGCTCCCCCGCCGCGGCCAAAGTGGGTTAGCGGAAGTGACGTAGGAGTCGTGCCTCCCAGTCGTCTCTCCCCGATCTGTTTAAACCCATCATTTTTACGTTTTGTTTCATTTCAAAACAACACCACTCGCACCGTCGCAAATTTAAACAAAAAAGAAATATTTCCCTAATAGATTTTTAATAATAAAGTCGTAAGAAATTAAAGTTAAAGCCGTGACACAGATCTGGCAGTAAAGACGATGTAGATTAGTAAACCCAGTTATGTAACAAGATTAAACATCTTAAAATGTAATTAAAAAACAACCAAAACACGAATTCACATGTTCAATATAAAGCTGAACTAAAAATATAATTATATATATTTGATAACGTGCAGGAATTTGGAGTTTAATAAGCTTTTAATGTTTAAAAAAAAGTGCTGAGTTTTATGTTGACAGTCCAAACCGGATGTGGGCTAATAGTGCTATCTTGACAAAATCCTGTGCCAGACGTCTGAAGCCACGAGTGTGGGGGGGAATTAGTCGCATTTCTTTGGATTTTCCGGCTTTGGGACGTGACATAACGGCGGTCGCGGACGGTTCGGCGTTTCCCCGTGTCGATGGCGACGGCTTTTCGCGTTGAAGAAGAGTTTTAACGGTGAAAATCGAAGCGGTGAGTGACAGAGCCGAGCGGAGCTAAAGGCTAACGGCGCTAGCCTCGCTGGCGTTTCCCTCAAATAAAAGACGTCCTGTGTTCGCCCGCACTTCTCTTTTTATTCACCTTTTTTACGGTTTGACCCATAAATCTTCCTCACGGAAACGTAGACAGACGCTTTTAATGTGCTTTTCTGATTAAAGACCTGGTTTTAGACCTGGTTTAGTCCTGGTTTTAGTCCTGGTTTAGTCTTGGTTTAGACCTGGTTTAATCCTGGTTTTAATCCTGGTTTAGTCTTGGTTTTAGTCCTGGTTTTAGTCCTGGTTTTAGTCCTGGTTTTAGTCCTGGTTTAGACCTGGTTTAGTCCTGGTTTAGTCTTGTTTTAGTCCTGGTTTAAGTCCTAGTTTAGTCCTGGTTTAGATCTAGTTTAAACCTACTTTTAGCCCTGGTTTAGTCCTGGTTTAGTCCTGGTTTAGTCCTGGTTTAGTCCTGGTTTAGTCCTGGTTTAGACCTGATTTAGTCCTGGGTTTAGTCTTGGTTTAGTCTTGGTTTAGTCTTGGTTTAGTCTTGGTTTAGTCTTGGTTTTAGTCCTGGTTTAGTCCTGGGTTTAGTCCTGGGTTTAGTCCTGGGTTTAGTCCTGGGTTTAGATCTAGTTTAGACCTGGTTTAGTCCTGGTTTAGTCCTGTTTTAGTCCTGTTTTAGTCCTGTTTTAGTCCTGGTTTAGCCCAAAATGTGAAAACAGGAAAATCCCTCTGTGTAATCCATTTATTTGAACAAAGTAACTGTAATCCAATTACCACTCACTGAAACAGTAACTGTAACTGAATACAGTTACCCATCATTTGTACTCTGATTACTCTGGTACATGTAATCTGTTACTCCCCGACACTCTTTATTTATTAATGCGAGCAGAAAACGAAATGCCACGGTAAAATGAGCAGATTCTGTAAAAATACTGAGCTAAACTTTACGCAGCTTTGGAATTATGAAAGTTTTGTAATAAATTTAACTCAGAGCTGTTCATGTCTTTAATTCAGCTTCATGTATTTAAAAGAATCTTGCTAAATTTGCTGGAAATATGTCAAATTTAATGCCAGTAATGACAATTCTCGTTTAAATGACCCAGGAAACGGAACAAACTCTTCATTATGTAACTGTCTTTTTTACATATTTGTCCAGAGTGACTTGTATAACGGAGCTTAAAGGGTTTTACTTTGGTGATACGAACATACGAAACACAAAATCAAAGAAAATAATAATTAATTTTGATCATTGAAACCCATAAATTTGTTGTTGTCGGTTTGTAATGTGGATTTTATTTGGTTTGTGACAATATTTTGACCAGGACGTACTTGGAAAATGTGAACTTGCAGTGTTTGAATATAAAATGTTTCTGTGGGATAATTTTTGTCTAAATTAGGGGTGTGCAAAAATATCGAAATATAAATATATCGTATTGTTTAATGTGGTGATTCAGTATCGATATCGTGGGCTGCTGTATCGATATATTGTAATTTTTGGTGTATTTTATGAAATTATTTTGTGTAAGAGCTGCAGTTGTGTTGACATTTTTACTGTTTTGAGTAAAATTGGTGTTTTTAGTCTTGGTTTAGACCTGGTTTAGTCTTGGTTTAGACCTGGTTTAGTCCTGGTTTAGACCTGGTTTAGTCTAGTCTGGATTTAGACCTCGTTTAATCCTGGTTTAGTCTTGGTTTAGACCTGGTTTAGTCCTGGTTTAGTCCTGGTTTAGACCTGGTTTAGTCTAGTCTGGATTTAGACCTCGTTTAATCCTGGTTTAGTCTTGGTTTAGTCTTGGTTTAGACCTGGTTTAGTCCTGGTTTAGTCCTGGTTTAATCCTGGTTTAGACCTGGTTTAGACCTGGTTTAGACCTGGTTTAGTCCTGGTTTAGTCCTGGTTTAGTCCTGGTTTAGTCTAGTCAGGATTTAGACCTGGTTTAGTCCTGGTTTAGTCTTGGTTTAGACCTGGTTTAGTCTAGTCAGGATTTAGACCTGGTTTAGTCCTGGTTTAGTCTAGTCTGGATTTAGACCTGGTTTAGACTTGGTTTAGTCCTGGTTTAGTCCTGGTTTAGACCTGGTTTAGACCTGGTTTAGTCCTGGTTTAGTCCTGGTTTAGTCCTGGTTTAGTCTAGTCAGGATTTAGACCTGGTTTAGTCCTGGTTTAGTCTTGGTTTAGACCTGGTTTAGACTTGGTTTAGACCTGGTTTAGACTTGGTTTAGACCTGGTTTAGACTTGGTTTAGACTTGGTTTAGACTTGGTTTAGACCTGGTTTAGACCTGGTTTAGACCTGGTTTAGACCTGGTTTAGACCTGGTTTAGACCTGGTTTAGACCTGGTTTTCACTCTGCACAGACTTACCGTAAACCGTATCTTGAACCGAATCGATTTGAAATACATCGTACTGAATCTAAATTGCACAGTATCGAAAAACATATCGAGGTTTGTATCGTATCGACTTCTTAAAGACTCTCGGCCCGAGTTTATAAATGTGGATTTTAATTTGTTTGTGACAGTTTTTTGACCAGGACGGACTTGGAAAATGGAAAAGTGCAGTGTTTGAATCTAAAATGTTCTTGGTAATTAATATTAATAAATCTTCTGTGGGATAATTTGTCTGTAAATATATTTTTTAAAAAGAAAATGTAGTAATTATAATTTGTAATAGCAGTTCTGAGGTTTGTAACGACAGTAGAGAGGAGTACGTGACGACGAGGAGGAACTCGAGACAAAAACAAAATGGGAACAAACTCTGAATAACAAACCACGAGCGGATTATTTTAAATTTGAATGTTAAAATTCTCGTGTATTTATAGAGTTAATCAAAACTCTGATCCTCGTCAAAACTAAAACAAATATTCAAACTAAAAAAAAAAAATCCCACTGACAGAAAAGAACAGAACATTTCCTGAATGTTTGTAAGATGATCTGGAACCGGATCAGAACAAGAATAAGACACAGAGACTAGAACACACACGGACCTGATTTACATCTGGTTTAGGCCTGGTTTAGTTTAGACCTGGTTTTAGTTCTGGTTTAGTCCTGGTTTAGACACATGGGAACAGAAAAGAAAGTTTTATCATTTAATGTGGAAAATAACAGATTGTCTAAACAAAGAGTTTTATTTTATTTTCGTTGAGGAATTGGATCAGTCTTGAGTTTGGAGGCTGTTCTTTAATATAATAATAGAGTATTTGTTTATTAGTTTAATAGTTTTGAGTCCAGTTTTGAGTCCGTTTGTAGTCCATTTTGAGTCTGGTTTGAGTCGGTTTTTCAGTCTGTTTTTCAGTTTGTTTTGTGTCTTGGTTTGAATCCGGTTTTGAGTTCATTTTTGAGTCTGTTTTTTGAGTCTGGTTTTGAGTCCGTTTTGAGTCCGTTTTGAGTCTGTTTTGAGTCCTTTTTGAATCCGTCTTGGTCATGAGGCAGATTTGTGATGCGGTTTCCTGTGGAACTTTTCTGTCTTTTATTACTCTGCTCGTGCTCAGTTGAACATCCGCAAAAGTGCGGTGAAGATGATGGACAGAACAGAAACGGTGTGATTCAGTCCTTCACATTTCAGAGTGAACGCTGACGCTGCACAAACGGCCGCTCTGCTCCGTCCCCGGCGCACGACTCCTTTAATTATACGAGTTTAAACGGAGCTGCACAAGAAATCCACGTGTCAAGAGTCTCACAAGTTTAGACGCTTCTCACATTTGGCCGGATAATAAATGTTGTCAAAATAAAATATAGTTTTAAACAAATCGCAACGCAGTTTGAACTACAGGAAGTCCTGGTTTAGACCTGGTTTAGTCCTGGTTTAGACCTGGTTTAGTCCTTGTTTAGACCTGGTTTAGTCCTTGTTTAGACCTGGTTTACTCCAGGTTTAGTCCTGATTTAGTCCTGATTTAGATCTGGTTTAGACCTGGTTTAGTCCTTGTTCAGACCTGGTTCAGTCCTGGTTCAGTCCTGGTTTAGTTCTGGTTTAGTTCTGGTTCAGTCCTGGTTTAATAGATGTTGTCAAAATAAATTGCAGTTTTACACAAATCTTGACGCAGTTTGTGAAGAAAATCTGTTGAAAACTGCAGGAAGTCGAAGAAAATGCTTCTGTAAATTGATCAGATTCTATAAAAATACCAGATTGGAATTATAAAAGTTTTATGTCTGATTTACTTCACAGCTGTTCATGTCTTTAATTCGTCTTTGTGTAATTAAAACAATCTGGATAAATTTGCTGGAAACATGTCAGATTTAGTTCCAGTAATGATTCGTTTGTGCGTTTATAGTTGGTGCACATTTCTTGTTTAAATAGATGGTGTAATGACACAGTAAACAGAACGAGCCTTTCATTATCAAACCGTCTTCTTACATATTTATGCAGAGTGTCTCGTGTAATGGAGCTGAAGGGTTTTACTTTGACACGAACAACACACAAAATCAAACCAAAATAGAACAGTACTTTAAAATAATGTGTATTTACGTGACAAGTTTGACTTCATTTGGCTAGATAATACATGTTATAAAAATAAATTATAGTTTTAGACAAATCAAGAAGCAATTTGTGAAGAAAATCTGTTGAAAACTACAGGAAATAGTTTTATTTTAGAGTTCTGTGTTGATGACGTCACACTGGGAGAGTTCTGTCCAATTTGCCGTCGGCACAATTTGCAAGAAAATGTTTTATATTTTAGAGAAGTAATGATGTCCAAGTCTCACGATACGGTGATGAGTCTCACGATTAGGGATGTGACGATATCCAGATCTCTCTGTACGATATTTTCACGATTTATTGTGATATTTTTTGGAGGCAAAAACTGTAAATATTCTACTTTTCTTGACAAGACTTAATCCAAAGAACTAAGAGTTAAAAGTGTTAGAACTGTTATTTCTTCTTGTCGTCTGCACTGAAATGGAGCAAAGGATCATGGTCCGACATGTCAAACTCAGGCCCGGGGGCCAAATTTGTCCCGTGATATAATTATATTTGGCCCATGAGATCAAATCTGTATCAGAGCTGCCCACCGGGTACAGATCAACTCTAGAGACATGATTTATTTAAAATGTTTTTATTATTTTATTTTCTGTTTGTTCTGGATTCAATGTTTAAACAAAACTTTTATTAAACATTTTAATTTAATTTAATTTAACATTACAGATCTCGAACGAAGAGAAAACATGCAGATGTTGTTGAAATTTTCAGTAAATATTTAGTTTGGCCCACAACTTAGTCCCAGTTTTTAATTTTGGCCTCTGTGAATTTGAGTTTGACTCCTGAACTGTGTAGTTCCTCTGTGTTTTTTAGTTGTTGCTGCATCAGAACTCTTCATTTAAACAAAGAGACTTGTGATTCGATATATTATTGTCCAAGATATTATTGTGAAACGATACGATATCACCAGATTTCAGTTTTTGTTACATCCCTAGTGTGTATATGTGTGTGTGTATATAAATATATATATGAAATTTTCTTTTTTCTAATATTTAAGACATTATTTCAACAAAATAAAGTTATTATATTAATATTTTTCTCAAATATGAACCCTTCCAGACCGACAGTATTGTATACAACACCTGGGAATTTGTTTTATAAAACTGTAGAACTTTACAACCATAAAAGACAGAAAATAGCTTTTTTTTTTTTTTTTTTTTAAATAGAAAAAAGAGTTGTAGTGAGGATCTTCTTGGCATTTTCCTACGTCACACTCACTTTTTTTGTTTTCATTTGTAGTTTTGGTCCTGTAGTTGTGGCTTTTTTCTGGTGTGTTGTAGCTTTTTTTTGGTGTGTTGTGGCTTTTTTTTTGTTTGTTGTGGCTTTTTTTTGGTGTGTTGTGGCTTTTTAAAAAATTTGTTGCGACGTTTGCATTTGTTGTGACCCATCTCGGCTTCCGTAAAATCGTCTTAACACAACATTTTATCAACAAAAATCGACTGAACCGATCAGATCCACCAAAATGTTCAGTCTCGCCGTAGATATTCCTTTAATAAAATCTTAAATATAATAATGATCTTGAGTGTGTTTTTTAGTGAAGTGAGTCCAAATTGTGAAAGGTGTTTTTAAATTTCCGCTAACCAAACACTTCTGAACCCACTTGGTTTGTTTTGTTTTGTGCAGGTTCTAGATTCAGATCAGAGTTTGTGTTTCTGGGTGAGTGACAAACTCTGTGAGACTGAAACTCAGTACTGAAGATAGAATCGAAAACTATGTCCTCGTTTCTTCAGGTTTTACACTTCCTGAAGTTTTGGAATAGTTGTAAACCAGTGTTTCTCAAACTGTGGCGCGGCTCCGTCAGGTCGGACTCGGAGCTTTTCACTTTGTGTTTGTGTCACGTACGACTCGTTTGACCCAGAAATTGTCGCTCGTTTGGATCATTTCTGTTTAAACCACAGAGGAAATGACAGAGTTAACTTTTTTTCACTTTTAGACCTGGTTTAGACCTGGTTTAGACCTGGTTTAGACCTGGTTTAGACCTTGAATAGTTCTCTTATAGACCTGGTTTAGACCTGTTATAGACCTTTTTTAGTCATTGAATAGTCCTAGAATAGTCCTGTTATAGACCTGGTGTTAGTCCTAGTTTAGTCCTGTTATAGACCTGGTTTTAGTCCTAGTTTAGTCCTGGCTTAGTCCTGGCTTAGACTTGGCTTAGACCTGGAATAGACCACCTGATATAGACCTGGTTTAGTCCTGTTAGAGTCCTCGTTTAGACTTGGTTTTAGACCGGTTAGACCTATTTTAGTCCTAGAATAGTCCTGGCTTAGTCCTGGCTTAGTCCTGGCTTAGTCCTGGCTTAGTCCTGGCTTAGTCCTGGCTTAGTCCTGGCTTAGTCCTGGCTTAGTCCTGGTTTAGTCCTGTTTCAGACCTGGTCCAGTCCTGGTTTTGTCCTGGTTTAGATCTCGTCCAGTCCTGTTTTAGTCCTGTTTTAATCCTTTTTTCAGACCTGGTTCAGTCCTGGTTCAGTCCTGTTTTGGTCCTGGTTCAGTCCTGGTTTAGACTTCATTTTTAGTCCTGGTTTAGTCCTGGTTCAGTCTTGTTTTAGTCCTGGTTCAGTCCTGGTTCAGTCCTGGTTCAGTCCTGGTTCAGTCCTGGTTTAGTCCTGGTTTAGTCCTGGTTTAGTTCTGGTTTAGTCCTGGTTTAGTCCTGGTTATCCATTAGTCCATTATACTTTTTTTTTTTTCCATTTTTCATGTAAACACAAAATCGAAAACTGAAAAAAAACCAACAAATCATTATCTGTTTTTTCATTTAGGTTTCGGAGACAAATAAATATAATAAATAGTTGTTTTTTCGTTTTCTTATTTTTGGTTTTATTTTATGAAAAACGAATGACACACGGATCCTAAATGTTTGTGTTTGTGTCTTAAACATGACGTGAATGAAACAAAACACAACTCCAGCTCTGTTTGTGACGAGAAAAGATTCAGGTTTGAGTCGTATCGGGAAGTTTTAATAAAATATTTCCGTCTCTTTTTCTTCCAGACGCTGCTCCAGATGTTTGCCCCGCCCCCCTCCTCTTCCTCTTCGCCTCCCGCTCTCCGCTTCTTTCCCGAGATGGCGGCGGCGGCGGCGGCAGCGGCGGCGCACGTTCCCAAATCTCTGGCCGAATGACGCCGCGTTGATCCGAGATGGAGAGTGGCGAGACGTACCCCCCGCTCCCTCTGTGACCTCAGGAACAAAAAAAAAAAAACCAAACCCCAAACCTATTTTTCTACAAAGATCATTATCGTCGCCCTCATTTAATAGTTAGTTTTTCCTTTGTGTTTTTTTTTTAACTCTCAGGTTCCCAAAGCATTTCGTATCCGACTTCTGCTGCTGCTAAAACCGAGACTGTTCGATCATCAGGGTGCAACGGACTTTAAAAGACAAAATAAATACTATTTTTTTGACTCACTGCACAATAAAAAAACGCTCAAGGAATTTACAAAACAAAGCCATTATTCCGTCAAAACAACCTGCCTAAAAACCATTCAGTCTGTAACTAGAATCCACTTTCCAGGGAATTAAACCAGATTTTTTTATTTTAGACTTTAAGTAGCCTCAAACACTTGGTAGTAACTCTTAGTAGAATTCTTTTTTTTTTTCAATTCCGAAAATCGAATTCCTTATTTTTAGCATTAACAGAAAAGTAAGTCATTCCCAAAGATTTCTGAGCATTTACTCAAAGATCATTCCATTATTAATCCATTCTATAATACAGAAATCATATTAGAATTCTGAAAAAATTAAAATTTTTTAAAAACGAAACTTGAATCTGGACGTGAAACCGCATTCTCCTTCATTTCGCAAACTGATTTAATCTTTTTTTGAGTCCGTTTATCAGCCATTTTGATTTAGTTTTAAGGATTTTTGTTTTTACACCGGATGCTCTGTTTTGTTTTTCTGTTTTTTTTTTTTTTTTTAACTAGGCTTGGGACTGACACAGAAAATCCATGGTGATTATTCCCCGGAGCAGCTCGTCTTGTCGTTTTGGACTCTGCATTGAATTGTTGAACTCGAAACGTTCCGCTTCTTTTGGCTGTTTTAACAGTGTTTGGAATTCTCTTTGCACCTTTTCGTGTTTCGGAAAAGTGGGAAAGTTGAATTTTTTTGCTTAGATACCGCAGCAATATTTTTGTTTTATTAGATTTTTTGTGGACCAACTTTTTGTGCTCGTCTCGGTCTGATAAAAAGGACTTTGGACGTTGAGGAGAGCAGGTTAGTTCTTGTTTTTTTTTTTTTGTCGTTCGGCGGTTGCGGGCGGAGCCATGGCGTCGGAGGGCTTCCAGTACCGCGCGCTCTACGATTACAAGAAGGAGCGCGAGGAGGACATCGACCTGCACGTGGGCGACGTCCTGCTCGTCTCCAAAGCGGCGCTGTTGGCTCTGGGCTGCGCCAACGGGGCCGAGGAGAGGCCGGCCGAGATCGGGTGGCTCCCGGGATTCAACGAGACCACGCAGGTGAGACGCTAACCACTCTGCCGCGGGAACACCAGGAGTCTAACCCACAACCTCGAGCGTTAACCTTGTTACACTTGTTTCCTCATTTCCTCACCTGAACTTGTGTTTGGACTAGAGCCCGACCGATATGGATTTTGTCGTGGCCGATATGAAACCGATAAAACTGGAGTTGGAGTTGGAGGTCTAAAGCAGGTCTAAAGCAGATCTAAAGCAGAACTGAACCAGGTCTAAACAAGGACTGAAAAAGGACTAAACCAGGACTAAAACAGTGTAAATAAGAGCATGTGAGTGACGTGACTCTGTGGTGTGTTCAGGGACAGTACGACACACACACACAAACAGACAAATGACTCCGCAGATAAATACTGATGTGGAGCCACATATTTGGACATTTATGTGTCTGCAAATTGGATTAAATGGACAAAATGTAGAGAGTCTAAGATTTATAACGAGGTATAACACGCCCACGGGAAATATCACACCCCATTTTCATACTAGACAATGTGGGTGAAGTGTCTTGCCCAAGGACACAGCAGTTTTTGACACTGGTTCCCCCCTGAGGCTCCTGGTCCCAGGGGTCTCACATCAGATCAGAGTCCTGCCCAGACGGAGTCCTGCTGAACCTCTGAGACGAGATCAGACTTTGACCAGGCGGTTTGGTCACAATTTTGGTACAAATGAAAAAAAAGTCTGCTCCTCTCTAGCGTGTCAGTGAACTTGCTTCTCTTATTACCTAGTTTCAGATGAATATTGTGATTTACAGACTCTAGACTCTAACATAATGATCCACAGAAGTCTGAGATTAGAACAAGTACCAGAAACACTGTAGGTTTAACACAGAGATCAGGAGTCTAACTCTTGTTTTGTTCTTGGTTTTTCAGGAGAAGGGAGATTTTCCCGGGACGTACGTCGAGTTCGTCGGCAGGAAGCGCATGTCTCCTCCCACTCCGAAGCCCCGCCCCCCCAGACCGCCGTCCGCTGCGTCCGCTCGGGCCGACTCGGAGTCTGAAGGTCAGTCTGCATCAGCTCACGTTCATTTAACCGCAGCACGAAGCACGAAGCACGACCCGAACAGAAACACTACCTCCTAACCCAAAAAACAAAATCCAAAATTCATTTTATTTTTTGGACATTAACTTAGATACTTTTTAAAGACAACGCAGTAGATCTACCTCTAAGTTATGATTAAATTCAATAATAACCATAAATTGTATAAATGGACATGTCTAACCCACGAGAGCCGCCGCGTTTCACACAGGAAGTGTTCACGGTCGTGATTCAGCTCCAGTTCACTTTCTGTTGAAAAATGGGGGCTCTGTATAAATGGATATATCTGTTACATAAGTACAGTTGTAGGGAGTATTATCTGTTACGTAGGTACAGTTGTAGGGAGTATTATCTGTTACGTAGGTACAGTTGTAGGGAGTATTATCTGTTACATAGGTACAGTTGTAGGGAGTATTATCTGTTACATAGGTACAGTTGTAGGGAGTATTATCTGATACATAAGTACAGTTGTAGGGAGTATTATCTGTTACATAGGTACAGTTGTAGGGAGTATTATCTGTTACATAGGTACAGTTGTAGGGAGTATTATCTGTTACATAGGTACAGTTGTAAGGAGTATTATCTGTTACATAGGTACAGTTGTAGGGAGTATTATCTGTTACATAAGTACAGTTGTAGGGAGTATTATCTGTTAAATAAGTACAGTTGTAGGGAGTATTATCTGTTAAATAAGTACAGTTGTAGGGAGTATTATCTGTTAAATAAGTACAGTTGTAGGGAGTATTATCTGTTACATAAGGGTGAGTTGTGCAGTTGTAGGGAGTATTATCTGTTACATAAGGGTGACAGTTGTAGGGAGTATTATCTGTTACATAAGGGTGACAGTTGTAGGGAGTATTATCTGTTACATAAGGGCGAGTTGTGCAGTTGTAGGGAGTATTATCTAGACGTAGCCCTGTTCTTTAGACCCAGAGAAGAGTCCGAGGTTCTCCTGACCCTAAACCTTCTCTCGTGTATTTTCTTTGTTGGACTGTTTTGGTGAACACCCGGCGTTTTGTGGTGTCGATGTTTTAATTTTCTGTGGCCTCCATAAACGAACGGAGCCGCGGCGGCTCAAGCTGCAGCTGTGAGGCTCGAGCAAAACTAAAAATAGAATTAAATCTTGTGTTTAATCTGAGGTTTTTACAGGAAACAGTTGAAACGTTCTGAGCGCGTCCTGTTTTCTCTGAAACCTGCTGCAGCTCCGAGAGCATTTTTTTGCTGTTCCAGATTTCACCGAAAAAAGAGGGAAAAAAAAAAAAAAACGGGTTCAGGGGTCACAGTTTAAATAGTTTGAAAGTTAAATTTGACTCGAGGCGGAAGAAAAGACAAGACATGTTTTTACTCAGTAGATTCGTCTCCATTTACAATTTAATGTTTTCTTTTCAAAAACTAAATAAGTTTCAGTAGTTTATTTGGTTTCATGAACATTATCAAGATAGATTTCCAGTGAATTTCCCCTTTAAAAAACAAACAAATTTATACTTAAATTAAAAACTGTATTACGCAAAACATGACTCTAGTGAGATTTAAGTCGTGTTCTTGTGTTTCCTCGTCAAAATCTGAGATGGAATTGTTTTTTTTCATTCACATGTTTGAGTAACTCATTATTATGAGTGTTCTACATCTCCAAAGCTCTAAACGCTCTGTTCCACCTTGTGATGTCATGAAGCGTTAGTTTTCAAGTGAACAGTTCAGCAGAGATTTTTTGTTCAACAGTGATCTGCGATTCCAGATCTTAAATGATCCGAATGATTCTAGTGAATGTGTGTGAAGTAGGTGTGTGCAAAAATATCGATATATCGTGTCGTTTAATGTGATGATACAGTATCGATATCGTGGGCTGTTGTATCAATATATTGATATATCGAGTATTTTGGGGTTTATTTTAATAAATTATTTTGTTCCAGCTCCAGTTTTGTTGTTTGTTCAGAGGAAGGAAACTCGTTTATGTGACACATTTGACATTTTCACTGTTTTGATGATTAAAATGTTTGAGTTTCATATGAACTTTGCACAAGAAGAAGTGATTTAACAAAGACTTTTACTGTCACAGACATGATTTAGACTAGGGCCCGACCGATATGAATTTTGCAGCGGCCGATATGATGTCGATAAAATGGGAGTTGGAGCTGCCGATATAATCAGATATATTCAGTGATGTAAAAATTCACTGTAAATCTTGGAATTGTTCAAAAGACTTCAGTTTGGCTCTAGTGGATTTTAAATTGGGCTCATTTGCGCAACATTTATTGTTATTCTAAAATTTTACGTCAAATTTACAGACAGTAGGTCGGCCTACTGGCATTTTTGCATCACATTCTAGTAAAGAAAGGAAACTACCACTATTATCCTTTAGCCATAAATGCTGCGCGCCGCGGTAATTAATTATATGTGTAAATGTGGATCATTCACACCTCTATTCACCGCTCATTTACATATGCAGGTCCAGTACGGCCAATAAAGTCACTTTACACACATTTCAAACACACATTTCCAACACTCAGCGCTCACACAGGCTCCTCCTCACATCACAAGTCTGCATTAATAAATGTCCTTTTAATTCAGACTCAAACCGACTGTCCGTAAAAAGAAAATAATCTCAGTGTTTGGATCCGTGTCTGCACGTGTAAACAAACACACGTGACTCTGTGGTGTGTTCAGGGACAGTACGGACACACACACACAGACAAATGACTCCACAGACACATTTATCAGTCTGTAAATTGGATTAAATTAAAATAATGTAGAGAGTCTAAGATTTATAGCGAAGTATAACCTGCCCACGGGAAATATCGGCCCCTATCAGCAAGATTTAGGTCAATAGCGGTTGGGCTCTTGGAAACATATCGGCCCTAATTTATTTAGACTTTATTTTTACTGAACCATATCAAATCAGTTTGGAATATATTGTATCAAATCGAAATCTCACTGTATCGAGATATGTATCGTATCGTGGCCTATGTATTGATTGACAGGACAGTTGTAGGGAGTATTATTTAGACCTAACCCTATTCTTTAGACCCAGAGAACAGTCCGAGTTGCTCCTAACTCAAAACCTTTTATAGTCCATTTTTTTTTGTTTAAATATTTTGGTGAACACCCAGCATTTGTATCAAGGTGTGTATTGTATCGGCAACTCCTGAATGATACTCAGCCCTAATTACCACATGACATCACAAGGTGGAACAGAGTGTTTTCAGTTGGAGAGAAGAAGTCATGTGTGAAACATGTGAATGAAACAAAACACAAGTCCAGGTCTGTTTGTGACGAGGAAACGACGTCAGAACAGAACAGAGAACAGAGTCAGGTTGAACTAAACAATTTTATTTATTTTAGACTATGTAAAGTTCTGTACTGTGACTTTAAATTTGTCGTTTTATTTCTGTGTTTTCCAGGTTTTGTTCTTCCAGACCTGCCAGATCAGTTCGGACCCCCGGACACGGCCCCGCCCCTGCTCAGCCGACTCATGGAGGCCGTGGAGAGCAAAGGTGTGTCAGATGCCCTCCCGTCCTCCTCCGTGAAGTCAAACGCACAATCAAACGCACAACTACACGAAAAGTCAATCGTTTGAGCTTCGTCTGTGCTGTAAAAAGTTTGGTTCGTGCTGCTTTAGTTTTGGAGATATTAACGATTCTTTTACAGGTCAAACTGGGGTCGCAGCCTCCAGGAAACTTCAAAATGAAATAAAACGGCACAAAATGGAGTCAGTCGGAAAAAGTTCGGTTTGTGTGATTCTGGTTTTTAAGATATTCACACTTTTATTTTGGGTCGATGACGTCACCAGCCCCTCAAAATGTGAAACAGCTTCAAAACAGCAGAAAATTAAACCAAACATTTTTGTATTTGGTTTGTGCGGTTTTTCATTTGTGAGTTTATTTCTAAAATTATTCATGATTATTTTTGTGTAAATGATATGACGTCATTTCCGCTCAACTGATGACAATAAACTCCGCAAAACCAGTGAAGAGAAATGACCTGAGTCTGTGGAAAAGTCTGTATCAGTCTGTAGTAACTCGTTTTTGATTCATATCTTATATAATAACTCAGACTTTTCCACAGCCTCAGCCGCTGTCATCAACTGAGCGGAAATGAATCATTTTAGAAATAAACTCACACAAATGAAAACAGTCACAGCACAAAACAACATAAACAAAACACAAACGTTTGGTTTAATTTGCTGCTGTTTTGACTCTGTGGAACATTTTGAGGAGCTGGACAACGTCACGACCCAAAATAAAACTGCAAATATTTTAAGAACCAGAATCACACAAATGAAACTTTACAGCACAAATGAAGCATAAACGATTAACTCCATTTTGTGTCGTTTTAAACCAGGAGAGTCAAACTCAAATTCACAGAGGCCAAAAGTAAAAACTGGGACTAAGTTGTGGGTCAAACTAAATGGTTCCGATCAAGTGGTAACGGAGGGAAACAGAGACATTTGAATGTCAAAAATCTGCCCTTATTCAGAAACTAGAGGAACTATTGAAATAAGTAAAGTATCAGAATGTAGGAAAGAGTTACACTCCAACAGGGTAAAGTTAAACCTGTGATATTCTTTCAAGTTCAAGACAAAAAACTCATGTCAGTAACGGAGGGAATGAAATATGCAGCACTTTTTGGGCAATAAATCCAAACAGTTATAACTCTTGGTTCTCACTTACATATCCTTAACAAACTGGTTTGAATATTTGCTTCATATAGTTTTCTACCATATGGTACAAGATTAGGTTGAAAAACCTCTGACTTTTTGACTCATGAGATTTTTTATTAAGAAAGTTCATGGTAACGGAGGAAAAAGTAACGGAGGGAAAATTGTACAAACAAGTAGAAGGTGCAGGATTTTACATCATTTGTCACTTTTTTCTTCTGAAAACTTTAATATTACTTCAAAATGAAAGGGAACTATTTCTATAAAATATGTCAGTCCTTCCAAGCTAATTTTTATCGTTTTAAATATAAAAAAATACATCCATTTATTTACATGATTTTTGGGTCTTTGAAATTTGGGAAATAATTTTTGTTCCATGTTTCATACATGGTCTGTTTAAAACATATGGAACTTTAGAACCAAAAATGGTACAGAAAAAAGGTCAACTTGAGTACATATGTATCTGTTCAATACATTTTTATATCAGATGCATTAACTTGAATTTTTGGCCTTGCTGTATATTTCTGCTTTTCTCTTCTTTTGAGATCTGTAATGTTAAACCTTTTCTTATTAAAATAAACATTTTAATAATTGTTTTGCTTAAACATTTAATCCAGAACAAGCAGAATAAAAAAATAACAACATTTTAAATAAATCATGTCTCTAGTCGGTCTGTAACCAGCGGCAGCTCTAATACAGATTTGATTTGATCTTGAGGGCCAAATTTGGCCCCCTGGCCTGAATTTGACATGTCTGTTTTATTTCATTTTGAAGTTTCCTGGAGGCTGTGACCCCAGTTTGACCTGTAAAAGAATCGATAATATCTCAAAAAGTAAAGCAGCACAAACGAAGCACAAACAGTTCACATAATTTTGTGTAGGTTTGTGTTTGATGAGGGGCCGACTTCACACACGTCTCCTCCCATCCTCGTGTGTGTGTGTGTGTGTGTGTGTGTCAGATGCCCTCCCGTCCTGACTCGTCCTTTAACTCTCTCTGCGTCTCAGGTATCGACAGTCCGTCTCTGTATCGCAGTCCGAGTGGCGGGGCTCTGGACACGAGGCAGTTGGCAGAAACAGGTCAGAAAAAAAACGGAATTTAACTAATGTTTTTCTGACTCTGGCTTGGTTTTCGTGTGGTCATTATTTCTATAGACATTTACATCAGTTTGGTGGAAGTTTGTGGAAAAAAAACAAAAAAAGTTGATGTACAAAAATACAGGAAGTAGCGGTGAGTTTTAAAACAGAATCTCTCTGCTTATGTCATGGATTTACTAACAAGGAGACGTTTTTCTGACACTTCGAGTCTTTATTTAACTGAAGAGGTGTCGTGTTTATATGTTTTAGTCTAATCAGATTTAGAATTTTAAACGCCACTGAATTTTTCACCTTCAATTTTTGAACTCTGGAAAAAAAAAGTTCACGCTAAACATCTAAAATTCTGAATAAAAATAATTCTGTGTTTAAAAGTCAATATAAAAAATCAGCTTTTAAATATTCAGCACAAATATTTCCAAGCCTTAAATTCAACAGTTAAAATTCAGAGTGAAAAACATTCGCAGCAAAGATCCAAGACGCCAAAGCAGAAGCGTCGATCCAAAGTGAACCAATCTAACTTAAGTCCGCCACGCTTTACAGTAGAAATCGCCGAATTTAGTCTGCGATTTGTGACCCAACTTTGTGTCTTCCTGTGCAATTTTAAAGCCGCTGCTCCTCGTGTGTGTCTGCTCCAGGTTGGGAGTTTGATTAACAATAGATAACGAGGTAGCTTTGTTATCTATTGTCTGATTTGAAACAAAAAACCTGTACAACCTTTAAAATGTGTTTTAGTGGAGTTTGTTTCTGATTTCCCTGTGTTGTCATCGTCGTCGTCGTTGTTGTTGTGGTTTCAGATCTGGATCAGTTGGAGCTGTCGTCTCTCTGTGAGGGGGTGGTCCGGTTTCTCCAGGACCTGCCGGGACCCGTGCTGCCCACCGCTCTGCAGGGAGACATGATCCAGGCCGTACAGGGTCAGAGCACCACACACGCACCCACCCACACACCCACACCCGCACATGTTCACTCTTATCCCTCCACAAACACACCAGACACTCATCTACACTCACCATCTTCAAAAAACACCAAAAACTCATCTGTTCAGAAATGTATTTGTGTTTTAAAGCTCTTTTATTATACACAGTGCTGGGGAGTAACAGATTACATGTACCGGAGTAATCAGAGTACTAATTATGAGTAACTGTATTCAGTTACAGTTACTGTTTCAGTGAGTGGTAATTGGATTACAGTTACTTTGTTGAAATAAATGGATTACACAGAGGCATTTTCCTGTTTTCACATTTTGGGCTTTTTTTTGGGTCATTTTTCGTTTTTTTCCGTAATTCCACTCATTGTCGGAAAATAGACCAGGACTAAGACCAGGACTAAGACCAGGACTAAGACCAGGACTAAGACCAGGACTAAGACCAGGACTAAGACCAGGACTAAGACCAGGACTAAGACCAGGACTAAGACCAGGACTAAACTAGGACTAAAACCAGGACTAAAAACAGGTCTTAAACCAGGTCTTAAACCAGGTCTTAAACCAGGTCTTAAACCAGGTCTTAAACCAGGACTAAACCAGGACTAAATCCTGTTGTGTGGACGTGTTTCTTCTTCTTCTATCAATAATATTTTTAATTTGGTTCAGTAAAGTCTGGGCTTTTTATTTTCTTTTATCAGACAAAACTTCTTATGTGAAGATTTTCTCGTCTTTGCTTCTCTACAGCAAATCAAGTAATCCAAAGTAGTCAGATTACATTACTCACTTTAAGTAACCCCCAATTCACACCAAAGCGCAACGGCGCGTAAGTGCAGCAGCACAGCAGACGAGCAGCAGACGCGCTGCTTTAGAACTCCATTTTAACCGGTCTGACAGTGTAACAACGACAGTGTCATACGTGCGTCCAACGAGCGTCTGACGTGCTGCTCGAGAAAGGTTGAAATTCTAATTTTGCAGCGTCAACGGCGCGTCTCCAAGGTTTTTAGCAGGGGAAAGACAGGAAATAAACACGCGGTGTCAAAATAAACTTCCGATACCCTTTCAAAATAATTTAACCAAAGTCAAGACAGCGATGTAAACAACGTGCACGTGATTTACGATGTCAGACACCAATTCTACAAGGACTCAGGACTAAACCAGGACTAAACCAGGACTAAACCAGGACTAAACCAGGACTAAACCAGGACTAAACCAGGACTAAACCAGGACTAAACCAGGACTCACTGTCGAAATGTGCTCGGGGGTCCTTCCGTGTAGCCCCGAGTGTCCACGGGCGAAAGGACCGGTGCAGAGCTCGGAGAAGAGGTATGTGCAGCCGTCGCGCTTTTCGGACACCTGCTCCGCGGGGCTCAGGGTTCGCTGTCTCTCTCTCCAAGATTAGACCTGGTTTAGACCTGATTTAGTCCGGGTTTAGTCATGGTTTA